CGACACAATGTACTACATGGGTATTCGGTACCTAGGTTTAAACAATGCCTTCCATCGGTTCACAACCATATTCTATCTTGCTCATAAGAAGCATGAATACGAGCAACTTCCTAACATTGCAAATGCTCATAACTAACGTCATGAGCCATTATAAAAAGTGAAGGTATACATTCTGCCTCTGCTAGCAAAACAAAGTGTGTGGTGGGTATCGGGACACGAACCGGTTGTCAGCTTGAACAAGACGTCAGAATAAGAACAGCTGAGCCACAAAAAAGCTAAGGAGGCCTGCAAATTCATGGTTCACTTCCCGGCTATGTGTAGTAATTTGCTCTATTTCGTTGCATGGCTATCACGCAAGATGACATGGGTTGGCGTAACTCACTCGTTTACAGATAAAATTTGTGCTAACATATTAGACCTATTTGAATCCCAGCTGAGTCTCCCGTTCACGATACAGACAGCAAGTTCAGCGGAGTCATCGGTCAACACCAGCTTGATTTGCAGCTGAGTGTAGTTCACCAATTGCATGTGAACGTGGTGTACACGTTGGACATAAGGTTGACGGAAAATTGAGTAATGCATCCAGTTGATGAATCTCAAGAAGGGTGAAGTGAGTCGTTCGGATCATATGAGTAGTGCTTCCGGTCAACAGAAAAGACGCGGGTTTGTCTGCTCAGACCTAATCAGACGCTAATTCTAGGTAGAACACACCAAGCCCTGATTTGCTCCCGACCTTTATCGTACTCGTCCTGGGTGAGCGTATTCTCGTCTTGAGGCCAATTCTAATCCTTTTAAGCCACGAATTGTGACTCTGTGTGAACCTGGTGTCTGGATGATACGTCGAGCAAACTGAATAACTAAGCTGTTGTATGATTGTCTGTATGCCTCCATAGAATGGACGGATTTGTCGGTCAACAATGACAGCACCAGTGGAGGTCCACTGGACAACCAAAGCTGGTTCGCGCGGAGCCAAATGTGCCGCAGCGCTAGACCTTGAAGGCTATTTAGATCTGAAGGAGAAAACTCGGCTTGCGGAGGGCCTTATGACAGCTAGCTTTGTGAGCGCCCCAACTGGCTGGAGTGCAGTCGAAATGAAGATGGCCATTCTCGACTGAAGACGGTCTTCACGTTTACTCACCGTTTACAACAGTAACATAACAAAACAACAATATACAGAGTTTGAACCCGATGTGTAATATCATTAAAGTGTCACCCAAAGGTCAGAACCCGGGGTCAAATCCACAGTGGTAAAGAGACTTCTCTTTTAAAGCAAAACATTTCTAGTTTTGGGCCTCTGATGGAAACTTTTCCCATATAAGTGAACCGATTAAATCATGAGGCGGTCATATTGTCTCAGTCATCCGACTAAGGTGAGATTCAGTGCCCTCATTCCACGTTCAAGGCGCGGTGGAAAAGTGACCAGGGAGTTTGCCCTCATCCGAGTCAATGATTCACCTGGTTACTCCGATAGTGAAAATCTTGACAAATGAAGTCATAGCAACGAACGAAGTAAATTTCACTGATGGTGTGGTGGTGATTCGTTCCCCTAATCCAACGCTGTGATCAACGGTGAAAATGTTCAGGACAGTCTTGATGAATGCTAGAAGCGAAAGTAGCGGACGAAGCTCTTTTCATCGGCTGACCCTCTTGGCTGACGAATCAGAAATTTATGCGCTACTCGTCAGAACTCAAGTGTACCACTGGAATTCACCAGCAAAAGGAGGAAGAGGGTCAATTGGTCACAATGTCAAGTGGTTCACCCCATTACCAGATGGTATTTGCCTCTTCTGTACCCGTGTGTTGGTCTAATTGTACACCTGATTTCTCTGATGTGTCGTGTATTTTTTGGTTCATTGGCGAAGAACTTTGTTCGTCACCTTCGTTCATATCAAGAACAACAGGGCCAGCTTTAGTCACTTGAAACAATACTGACACAGTATTCTCTTAGCATATTATCATTTATTTTTGAAGAGCATGGTCACAAACATAAAAAGCGAATGCAAGCTATGAATGCGAAAGAGTAACAGGATAATATGGGGGAAAAGAGAGAAACGTCTCATTCGAAATCATGCCAAGGACAGTGCCAGTCTGATGAGGTGAATCCCAAAGTATGTAAGGATTTTTGTATGGGAAAACGTGTCTAAAGACCAACAACCAAAGAAAGGACAAACAATGGTGAATGCTCTTCAAGGCGCAGTGTGCGCTAGCACAGTCAAGACTCGCACATCAGGTACAAAGTGTCCGTCATACTGGGTCTGGTGCCTCAGTACTTACACTGCCCCCCCTCCTGCAAGAGTGGGTGGCTGTGTACGGCCAGTCAAACTTCTGTTTCTGCGGTACGACCAACTCTCCAATGTGACCGAATTCACTTGGTGAAACTAGGATACGGGTGCCGAATAGAATTCAAGATAATGCTGTCTATAAATGAATGCAGGCTTCTACTGATACGGAAGTTATTATCCGTAGTTCATTAGATGTAGTTCCGGTCAGTACGTGGATGATTGTGTGTGGCTCAATACATTACTCATGAGGTTACTGAAAACTCTTCGACAGTCCACAACCGGTTTTGCCCTTGTCGCTTAGAAACATCATACGGGAGATTCAGCTGGTTTCCAGGCGAGTGCAAATGAGTGTATTTCGCTGTACTTGTAAGACTTCATCCACTCCTTGATTTCCACAAAAGTTTGATGCAAACTGTTACGTCACGTGTCCTCTATGAGAAACTCCGTCTTCTTCAATCTCCGTCTCATGGATAACGAGACTCTCGTATCCACGAGTTACAAACATGTGGCGTCGCCTGGTGATACTACTCAACCCGCTATGCGGGTAACTCGCATCAAAGTGTAGCCAAGGCAAAATTTGAGCTGACCAAACTGAAATCCGCCGCCCCGAAACTCGGATGAAAATTGTACATTATGCACAGTAAAAGAAAAACGAGTCGAAATTTTCAGAGAGTATTGAGAAACTGGCGAGTTCGTTTCTCTTGCGTGAAGATACCCTCATTTCGAACGAAACAGTTACCAATGCAGTCGTCAGTGTTGTTCTAGCTATCATTTGATAGAATTATCCTTAATCGCGTTGTGTTCATATATGGAAGCTGAAGCCGTAGACAGCTTAGGTGAGTTTCCAACAGGAATTCAAGTAAATGGATGCAGTCACACATGCGAAAAGTTCGGATGGTATCGACCAGAGACTCGGATAAGATTCGATTGAAATTCCCATCTGTGATTTTCTGCAACCAAATGTGCCGCACAAATACGACCTCAAGCTTCAGTTGCGTTTGAATGAGTAGAACCGTCAATGAGCTACTGGAGGGAGTTCATCAACATCGATGACCCTATGTTCCCTGAGTGTGGATGAAGGGGCAGAAGTCTGTGGCGTGACAACACCCCACGAACATCCGCGTGCCGCATGGTGGGTGTTTGCGAGCTAAGTTGCTGAAGACATGGCCTTATCTCGCACAAATTCACCAGCATTCCACATTGATTCGCCTATTGGATCACAGCTGATTTGCCTAAGTCACTAGCGTGTTTTCTACGATGAACCTGAAACTAAGTGGATGGAAATTCGAATAATTCGAATAATTCTCGTCTACATTACATTACACACTTTCTTATCTAAGCTAACCCACCTACCTGTCAGTCAATCACTTCTAAACAGATGTCTTAGCTAAAGGACCGACTCAGTTTGATCACCTCGATTGCTACTTTGTGAAACCCTTTATCAACTTGCTTTACTAAGGTTAGAGAAGTACTTTTATTCAGAGAAGCAACATGAATCAATGTTTTTGAGACGACCTTTAATATTTTTTGGCAATTTTCCTCAGACTGGCATCCTGTAGCAACACTGGCTCTTTGTTTATGAATTTTCATTTAATCATTAGTTTGTCGTCCATTGAGAAGCACAAAAATCTTTAGAATTTCCATGAAGGAAACTACTCATAAGGTTGCTGAAAACTATTCGAAAGCCCACGACCGGTTTCGCCCTTCTTGGGGCTCATCAGGTAAAAGTAGTCCCCGAGTTTTCACCAACCTTATGTTCTACTTGAGTCTCTCATGAAAACCAAATGGATTTGCAAATGAGTGTATTTCTCGAATCGTTGGAATTATTTCTCTCCCAAGTGGCTTCTTCGGACGTACTAGATGAATTTGCGATATTTACCTCTTTTTGTGGAAAAATGCATCCACTTAGTAAGCCATAAATGGAATAGTTCAGGATTCAGCTGTGTGTAGACTGTCAACCAATGGCCGAAAATGCGTTGTTTGATCTTCCTCGGACAATTCTGTTCTGTGCTAACCCTTTTCGGTGCAGTAGTTCCCCGAAAAAGACGCAACACTGGAAGGGAACATCCTGGCTCTTTCTGTGAATGGTCCCTATCTGGGAAACTGTTGAGTGGATTGGTAAGATTTGTTCCAAAGCACTGGTTTCGTTCGGACAATGGTCTCTCGCAATCCGGCTGCCAACGCAATTCACGTGATTCTATTTAGAACGGTATTCGACTCACGTGCCTCATACGTCCATATATTGCCATATTCAGTCCTGCTATTGGGCATTTCACCTTGATGGTGTCCTTGAGACAGTCCCGTCAACCAGATGAACGAATAAATGGCTATTACAAAGGCGAAGAAGGATTTCTACGTTGCAACATGTGAAACTTTCTGTCACTGACGCGCAACTTTTCTTAACACAGGAGTACATCACATCCGCAGTTCGTTACCCAGTTAGGCCACAGTATGGACGTTTCCACGCCATTCCGTTTAACCTCTATCCCACTTCCCATGTTTCCTTTGTCTGTTACATGGGTTGACCTCATCCAAAGATAGATTGAGCCGACCGTCTGTCATGTACGCAACGACATTTAGGCAACCAGACTGAAGGGACTCCAAAAGTGCTTTTGTCAACAGAGACCCGGACAGCACTGACCCATGACCTGAAATAACCCAGAGCGACGAGTTCGTGAGATGCCGATGACGAGGCGACGGACAGAATGAAGCCGTCAGATGTGGGCTGAGGGTAGAAAGGACATGGACGCATTCGAGCGAGCGAGAGGTCACAAACACACACTCATTGTGTCCGGTCGGTCTGCTGCAGCAACAACAACAGCAGCGGCCGGTGAGGTTTCGTTCAGTGTGGGTCGAATAAAAGAAACAAAGGAACCGTCTCTTAACTTCGGGTCATGTCATTTCTTGGCGTGGCGTTGACTAATTCTGATTGTCGAGGAGCATACTGCCGAGATCGATCCGCACACCTTGAATGGGATCTGATCGTGTTTGGACACAGCTGCATTCTTGGTGATTTGTGAAAATGTGTTTGCCCTTGTTGCTGTTACACAACAAACTTGGATGCTTTTTTGTCCAGATTACTGTAACATTGACCTTATTAGCCTCAAGCTAAAGTACAGTCACATTCGGATACATTCGAAAGGACAAGTGCACTGCAAAGTCTGACCATTGGGCTGCGAACCGATGAGACGTCGATGCATGTATGGAAGATAAATACTCGATCATCCATGCGTAAAATCTCTCTTCAGCATCAATGTGGTTGTCTTGCTTACACCCACATTCACTGCGACAATGCAAATAGTGTGGAGTAGAGAATGGAACAGTTTGACTTGTTACGTAAACCGCGGCATGTTGGTATTGATGCACTGGAAAAGTTCTTCTCGGGTCAGCTATTATACAGGCATCCCTTTTTATTGAGGTCCTATTTGGCTCACTTTCACTCGAATTCGAGCCTGAGAATTATTGGCAGACGACCCAGGGAGACATAAGTTGAGTTTATTCACATTTGGTTGATAATTTACGACGATCTCCCTTCCTTACGCGCTATCACCGTCTGGAGCGAGAAGTCGCTGAATTAGCTCAACAACAGAGTGTTTGTTTTGGCTAGGGGAAGCCATCCCCAATATCTATCGCCTGCGAGTGAGGGACATCTGTCAAAGTGTTACCTATGTACTCATTGGAGGAAGTAAGAAGTGGCTGATAGAATTTTTGCGGGCGGAATGGCTAGGGAAACTATCACCGAATTGTCATCTGACGAGACTGCAGTAAAAAGTCATGATAAGATCTGGTTTTCCCCTATTTCCCCCTTTTGGCGTTTCTATGCGTTTGATTGAGGCAACTTCCTTGCAAATTCTGAATTTCCCCCTTTTCGCACAACCACGCAAATGGTGGAAACGAGCCAGGGAGGCCATACAATGACTTAGTAGCGAAGTATGAAAGCTACTGCCAACAACCTCAGCTGCGCTGGTCATTGCTGTCTCTCTGGATGGCGACCCCGAGACAAGACAATTCAATGGTTAGAGATTTTGTCAGACAAGGTCCAGTCGCCATCTCAATGGCAGTCGTGCCATTGCCATGCTATTGCCCTCAATGCATAGTTCCCCTCCCAATCTCCTCAATTAAAAATCCACTGACAACCATGTATTTACACATCAATTATAGTAGCTATCGCTTCCACTGTGCAACTATCAACCCCACCTTCCCAAATCACCTGTGAACGAAACTGTAGCAGCTAGAACTGCTGTACTGCAAGCGTGCGGTTTTTACGGTGGAACTTTGGAGAAACCTTTACAACAAGCTCCTCTTCTGATGCGAGGGGAACAGCTTCCACCGTTTAATTTACTTTGAAAGTATTTCATCACCATATTTTCCAACTCCTAGCAGTGTACCCTGCAAGCTTACTGGTCGGCTGATGTCCTTTTTCAAAACATGCAATTGTTTTAACTCGCGGCTTTGAATATATTGACGATCAAAGGTACTCTTATGCATTCATTAGAATTAATAAATGATGTGTGTTACGGGTACTTCGCCGATGCGGTTGCTTTTCAGCCCTCTGGGTTCGTTGCAGCTCGACTGAAACAAACACGGAGACATTGCATATTGATCAGTCACTAGAATTAGGATAACAGTTCTCATGGACTAAGCCGAACATTTACCTGTTTATGATTGTACTAGTCCCAGATATGCAGTGCGTCCGTTGCTGGTTACCTTGAGCAAAGCTAATCTTTTCGCACAACCACGCGAATGGTGGAAACGAGCCAGGGAGGCCATACAATGACTTAGTAGCGAAGTATGAAAGCTACTACCAACAAACTCAGCTGCGCTGGTCATTGCTGTCTCTCTGGATGGCGACCCCGAGACAAGACAATTCAATGGTTAGAGATTTTGTCAGACAAGGTCCAGTCGCCATCTCAATGGCAGTCGTGCCATTGCCATGCTATTGCCCTCAATGCATAGTTCCCCTCCCAATCTCCTCAATTAAAAATCCACTGACAACCATGTATTTACACATCAATTATAGTAGCTATCGCTTCCACTGTGCAACTATCAACCCCACCTTCCCAAATCACCTGTGAACGAAACTGTAGCAGCTAGAACTGCTGTACTGCAAGCGTGCGGTTTTTACGGTGGAACTTTGGAGAAACCTTTACAACAAGCTCCTCTTCTGATGCGAGGGGAACAGCTTCCACCGTTTAATTTACTTTGAAAGTATTTCATCACCATATTTTCCAACTCCTAGCAGTGTACCCTGCAAGCTTACTGGTCGGCTGATGTCCTTTTTCAAAACATGCAATTGTTTTAACTCGCGGCTTTGAATATATTGACGATCAAAGGTACTCTTATGCATTCATTAGAATTAATAAATGATGTGTGTTACGGGTACTTCGCCGATGCGGTTGCTTTTCAGCCCTCTGGGTTCGTTGCAGCTCGACTGAAACAAACACGGAGACATTGCATATTGATCAGTCACTAGAATTAGGATAACAGTTCTCATGGACTAAGCCGAACATTTACCTGTTTATGATTGTACTAGTCCCAGATATGCAGTGCGTCCGTTGCTGGTTACCTTGAGCAAAGCTAAATAAGGTCACAAAAATATGGCTCCCCTGACCACTACTTGGACCTTGATCAGGTACGGGGAGATGGATTAAGTGTGGTTCTATTCAGGGATCGGAATTTCGTCAGTAGATTGTCGGAACTGAAAAAATGGACCATTCATAGGGAGATTTCTGCATGGGCTGCATCTCAAAACCACCTTATAGGTTTTCAGGGAGCTCAGTGCAATGTTCTGATTCACACCGGTGGACATGAAGATAGCGGATACAAAACCTGACACCACTATCAGCCGGTCTATTCCACCGTCAATATTTACCACAAAACAGACAGACAGATTCGCTCGCTCGGGGACTGCGCCTTCCTGATGAGCCCCAAGAAGGGCGAAACCGGTCGTGGGCTGTCGAAGAGGTTTCAGCAACCTTGTGAGTAGTTTTCTTCATGAAAAAGATTCGCTTGAAGTTGTCGGACACCTTACTGATACCTCGAATAATCCGGTACTTAAAGCGTATCGTTAAATCTCCACGGCTTTGCCTTGCTAACGTACGTCTAGTTCCTACCAGTCATGCAGTTCCATGACGCTTGTTGCAACACAGCGATGCGTGCTCGATATGCATATTGTCTCACCAATTTGCATAGTGTTCAGGCGCAACATCCGATGTTTCTTTCAACTATCGGAATGGTGGATACCAAGACCGTGGAAAACAAACCTCAATAAATAATCTAGCGCAGATTCATATGATCTTATTGATCGCTGCACTATGACCGCACTGCGAGGGTAACTGAATCCGCGCTGCGTATCACTCGCCTTGCAGGTCATAAGCACGTGAGTCACACAACTGGGACACTCAGATCGCTAAGCTGGGCTACAAAAGTGCAACAGTTAGCAATTCAGTTCTTTCGCTTTGGTACAATACAGCTTGCGATAGTGATCTAATTAATAGGAGACTACTGGAGAGGTGGAAGAAATCATTCCGACGCATATTTCAACCTTCCAAAAATTGCACCACAACTGCTGATTACGGAGACCCAGTAAAATGAATGTGTTTGAGTACCCCTTATAAGTTCTACACAAAAGGTCCAAACTCTTGGCAAATACACCTGTTTGTTTAGTGAATTTATGTTGCTGGGAGAAAAATTCAATTAATGATAGTATTCATTTGAGTCGTCCGTTAACACCAACGTACTTTGCGAATGAGTGTAACTCGCCAACTGCGTATTCAGGCAAAACATAAGGTTTATGAAACTGGGGGACCTGAGAAGTCTCAAGAAGTGCAAATCCGGTAGTGGGTTGTCAATTAGTTTTCGCTAACCTCATAAACAATGTTATGTCTCATCTCGAGTTGTCAGCCTGAAACGCAAGTTACGAGAATCGGTATCAAACTCTAAAACACGAGTTAATTTTCAATACACTCACGAGGAAGTAAAACTGTGATAGGACAGTCCCGAAAATACGAGAGATCATATGGTTCACTAAGCAAATATGTGAAAATGTGTAGCGTGGACTGCTTTCCTACAGAAAACTCGCGGAAGAATCATTGTTTTACTACTCGTCCTAACCCCACTGACAAGTGGCCCTTAAGAATATGCAGAACAGGCACACTGGCAGGCCCGTGTGGCGACACCCAGATGGCTGAGGCGACGGCATCCGACTCTGATGGACGGATGACCTGAATCTCCAGTCTATACATTCGTATAGACTACTGTGACCAACACTAACAAAGTCTGGTCTAGTCTACACGGCGATGCTCTCGGGTAGTCAGTTCAGGCAAGGCCACAGGCTAAACTTCCCTGTATACCCAGAACGTTTTACCGACAGGTAGGTCTTTGTTCAGCAGATCCACGAAGACCCTTGCAAACAAGGCCGAATTCTTTGCGGACTCAGCTGACTCCATCACCATGCCCAACAACTCCATGAGGTACTTATAACTTGAATACTCCAACCTTTTGGTTTAGGGAAGGTCGACCGTCAAACGGACGGGAACTAGTTTGCTTTATCCTCCATCATGTGGTCTATTCCCGAATTCCAACCTTTCAATTCACGGGATCTATTTGGTTGTTGGTCTGTTCGCCGAGCTTGGCAGTTGGATTGAAAACGTTTCATCACGAATCGAGGTGACATCGTCAGTGCATCGTCAACCCTGCACTGACGATGTCACCTCGATTGGTGATGAAACGTTTTCAATCCAACTGCCAAGCTCGGCGAACAGACCAGCAACCAAACAGCGCACCCGAGCTACCTACATTCCACAACATTGCTATCACGGGATCTATGTTGGTAACACTCAAAAACCAAACAGTGATGCTCAGACAACCCCACTTCTATCCACCAGATTTAAGTTTCTACGTCTCTAGCCGTCCAAAAA